ACACAGACAAACACATATACAAACACAAACATGCACTCTCACACACACACACACACACACACACACACACACACAAACACACACACCTGTTTCCTTGCTGGGTCATCTGACACGGGCACACCTCCTTGTCCTGACCCTTCTCCAGCTGGTCAATCAACACATCCAGGTGCTTCCAGTCCTCGAAGTGACCACCCACACCACGACCCAGGGTGTCCACCTCACTCACAGTCTTCTTCTGGTCCCAGTTGAGCCACAGCTGACCCTCTATGGCCTTAACCTCATGACCTAGGATGACCTCTCCACTCCGGACGTACATGTCCAGTAACGCCCCTTGGCGAGTCAACTCTTTCTCTTTGGGCGACATGGGGAGCTCAATCCTACACGTGCATTCATTATTGTTGTTGTTGATGATGTTTTTGTTGTTGTTGTTGTTATATTTGTTGTTATATTTGTTGTTGATGTTGTTGTTGTCGTTGTCGTTGTCGTTGTCGTTGTTGTTGTTGCTGCCGCCGAAGGACTCTGGCTGAAGGTAGTAGTTGAGGACATACTGCATGTACATAGCTTGACTCCAGCGCTTCTTACACTTCACCTTGGCGCTGTCCTTGAAGTGGACAGTGAGTGGACACCCGCCGGCCATGATCTCCCGGTACTGGAGCCCGTACGGACTTCGGAGCAAGAGTCGGCGGGAGCGGGTGGGCGTGGCCTCAGACCCGGCGGTCACGTGGGGGAGAAGACAGGATAGGAGACGTTTGGCGGGCGGCGTGAGGCTGCCCTCTCTGGACCCGTCATCGAACATGACGTGGAAGTTGAGCTGGACCTCCGAGAAGAGCCCGTGAGCGCTGCCTGCCAGGCGCCGGAAGCTGTTGACCAGTGTCATCATCTCGTCACGAGTCTCCCGGTACATGGTCGCGCAGACGAACAGCGTGCACTCCGGCTCTCCTCCCCCTCCCCCTGCTCCCTCACTCTTCTCCTCTCTCTCACTCTCCGCACTCCTCTCCGTGAGGGACAGTGTCTCCAACCTGCGTCCTCGGGCAGACAAGATGAGCTTAGCGTCAAGTCCCAAAAGTGACCAGAAGTGATCGGAGAAGAGAAGGTTGAAGGGCGCCATTAGGACTCGGGGTGAACCAGGTAGGAGGGAGAGAGCGGACATGTATGTTACTATCAATAGAATTGGGACCACAGCCGCGCACAGCAAGGGTGTAGAGGAAGACCAGTGTGTGGCTGCGAGGAGGGAGCTTCCATCCACACCAGAAGGGGTCAGTTTAAACGTTTGTCTGAACTGTTCCGAGTTCAGAGCCACGAAAAGTCCGCTAGAGATGAGCGTGGAGCATATTGAGGGCAGAGTGATCCCACACAGAGGCTGACACACCGAGAGAGACACGAAGCTGATACACACAAATAACACACTGGTGCCAGCCATGATGAACACGTAGGTTGAGGCTGACCACAGCAGCTCACTGATGTCATCTTGACCTGGAGCATCGGCTAGGCTGTGGGCGTGTGGTGGGTGTAGCACTCGGAAATTGACAGCCCCTGAGACGAAAGCGAGAGCGGTGACTATCTTGAGGAGGGAGTAAATGACGTGCACGCGCTGGTCCGCTCTCCCCACAGCCGCCGTCCGGAACAGGGGTCTCGGCCACAGATAGCCCAGGCCCGTCACCGATACCGACACCGTCACCGCACACTGACCACTGATGATGTCAGAATACCAGAGAATACATGACGTCACCAGCGGTAGGAAGCACGATGACGTCATGACGGTAGTCCGGAAACACGTGACACCTCTAGGTGAACTGCGCCCTGCCCTCTCCTGCGGGCCAGAAAGGATACAATCGATTGTACTTTATAAATAAGTAATTATAATAATAACAATAAAAATAATAATGATAATAATAATAATAATAATATTAATAATAATAATAATAATAATAATAATAATAATAATAAAAATAATAGTATTGATAATAATGATAACAACAATATTAATAATAGCAACAATAACAGTGATAGTAATAGTTTAACAATGATATCAATAACAACTCAGTTACAATGCTGACAGCTGTTCCATCAATGCCTGATAAAGACCAATACTTCTGCTGCGGAGAATGTTTATTAGACGAAAGAGAGGGAAAAGAAAATGTTTACGACATTGTAGGGCTGCTTGTGGCCTCTGACACGGCCGACGAAAGGAAAGTTCAAAGCTGCTTTCTAGATGATCTTACTTCGAACGATGGGGGAGACCAGACAG